TATTAATAAATTATACTCTTAATTTAATTAACTTTAAACCATATGATTATGGATTTATTAATTTTCTTTTAATTAAACACTTTAATCAATTTAATAAAGTCCATAAGGTATTGAACTATTCAAAGCATCAAGGTTATAAAAATTCAAAATTAAAAACCATTCAATTAATTTTGAAGTTATGAACCCAAAAGTTGCACCTTTTTGAAACCTTTCAATTACTAGATGTTTTAGAATTCATTATTTTCAAATTAAAAACTTTTAATTAAACTTTTCAAATTCAAAAACTCTTGAATTCCAAACTTGATGGCAAGTTTTGTAACTCCTTAAAAAAAAACTTTTGAGCTGCAAAACTTATGAGTTTTAATGTTCATGAATTAGACTTTTCGTATTTCATAACTTGATGACAAGTTATGAAACTTTCTTCAAGAACAATTTAGATCAATTATAACTTATTCAATTATCATATAATTTGTTATTTACCAAGCTGATCTAATCTAACTCACATAGTAAGACAATTCAAATCAAATAATACAAACAATCAACTTATTATCTTAAAATTTGATAATTGTCCTTTAATTAGATGAGGATGATCACTACCATATCAAAAAAAAAAAAAAACAGATTTTATGATATAAAACAGTTCATGGTAATGATTCTAATCCAATTCTGGCAAAAAAAAACCCGAAAAACTGCCAACTGATGATCCAACTCGTCGAGTCGGATACTGGACTCGTCGAGTTCATCACCAAATGACCCAACTTGTCGAGTCCACTCATGGGACTCGTCGAGTCCATCTGTCAGTGAGCAATTTTTCAATTTTTTTCAGCTTTGAAAATTAACAAATGCATCTATATAACAGAAACCTACCCATGGTTCTGATACCATTGTTGGGTTTTATGTACTCTAACATCCTATGGTGCACATACAACCCTAATACTTTGGATCTAAGTTTTCTCTAGTTATACATGCAACAAAAAATTATCCAAAGCATGAAGCCTACAACTAGAATACAATTTGACATTTGAATCATAAAAAACTAGTTAGAAGATTACATACTGTTATAGCTTGTTGTAGTTGGCCTTTAAGAACTTAGCACCTCAAGTGTGATGCCTCAAGTGGTTCACAAAACACCACCAACAGTTGGAGAACTTGAGAGAGAGTTTATGAGGCACTTAGGCTTATGATCCATAATCCATATAGACTAAATCTTCATGGACTCTTACATAAACTTAGTCCATCATGGATCAATAGCCCAAACCATATGTATCACTGATTTATAATCAGTCCCCGTTAATTTAATTAGTCTCTTTTGATCACTAAATTAATTCTTGATCAATACTAATTAAATAATATGATTTCACAATTAATATATCATACTTATAATATATTAATAAATCACAAATAACCTCTTTCTCAAATATCCATCCTATCAGATTGTTCTGGTGAATGCAACCCAAAATGGACCATGCTACTCTCGGGTCAAGTACATACCAATTATAGTTAAGGGCTTAGACACCTAATCCAACATGAAGATCATTTGAAATAGAAGTTGCTTTTCTTCATAAAAACGTATGTTGTACATCACTTATTAACTCTAAGTCTTGTATGCAAGTTTGATTAAGATTCAACTAAGTTATTCTTTACTTGCTTTATATTTATGTTGTAAATGTTGTTATTATACTTTTTGTAAAATAACTTGTTAAATTTCAAATCTTATTTATTATTAAGCTACTAAAGATCCATTTGAGATAACTTAAATATTTTGCAACTATCTTTATCATCAAACACGTTTTCACTCATCATGCTCTTTGTACTTTCTAAAGTATTTATAATGTTATAAAAACAAGTAGGAGGTAACAAGTATCGACAGTTTAGGGACCAATAGTAAAAAATCTAATTGTTTGCCTAATTCTTAATATTCTACTCCTAATAATGAAACTTTAAGACCAGAGGGAGTGGTGCGGCCTGTACCGCACTCCCTATGCCACATAAGCCACGAACACCCCCTGGGTGCGGTCCAGGTGCGGCCTTCCAGGGGTGCGCTCCTTGCTCAATTTTGATTGGTTCCGTGTTTTACCGTTTTTAAACGGTTAAATTTCAAAAAAATATTTTTTTTACCAATACTATAAATATTTTATCAACTTAACCAAAAAAACTCATCAACATTTTACCATCTTCTTTCTTTTCAAACCCACAAAAAATATCATCCTCCAAAAATCCAACCAATGAAAAAACACCCACTAGAAAACCCACAACTCCAAGACCTTCACTCGATCAACCAGTTTATTCGCCTCTTTTCTACCACTACAGGGGTATGCTTCCCTATTTTTCACAACATATCCAACAACCACGTCCTACGCAACCATTTCCACATACACATCCACAATTTGACCAATATTTTGATCATTTTGATTTTGGTTCCCAACCAGAGTTTATTCCAGAAACACAATCACAACCACAAACACCTATTTCCAAATCTGAACTAGAATTTGTTCCACAAACTCAACCCTCTCCACCAGGAAATAAAAGAAAAGAGAGGGCGGAAGCTAAAGCATGGTCACCTCAAGAAGAGTTAGTATTAACACAATCATGGATTGACGTTTCAGAGGACGCGAAGACGGGAGGGAACCAAAAACATGATCGTTTTTGGATGCGCGTTAGAGCTCAATTCCACAAAGGAATGAACCTGGAACCATATCGTACTAAACATCAGGTGTAATCAAAATGGGGAAAGATGAACAAGGATGTGATGTTGTTTAACGATTTATATAACAACATTAAACGACAATGGAAAAGCGGAGAAAGTGACGAAGTGATTTTGGAGAAAGCTTTTAACATTTATCAAAAAGATCAAAAGAAGACTTTCAAGTTTTTTGAAGTTTGGAATCTACTCAAAAGCAACAAGAAATGGGAAAAACTGAAAACAAGCGACGAGCACATCGATAGCGGATCAAAACGATCAAAAACTTCCGCATCCGAACACACTTCATCGGATGCGCGTGTTGGTTTTGACCTCAACGAAGATGAGCCCGTTCAAGTGTCACCACCCCCGACCAATGGGAAGGGACAAAACAAAAAACAAAGGCAAGGGCAAAACGTCGGAATCGGATGACTTGAAATAAATGGGCGAGAACGTGCAAGGCATAAAAGATAGAATTGATAAATTTTTGCAACTTGCTTCGGATTGAGAGAGTCGGAAACAAAGAGACAACGACCTGAGAGTGCTATTGCTGGACACGACGAATTTGACCGGGGATGCGCTTCAAGTCGTTTTGCAAATGAAGGAAGACGTGAAAAAACGTTATATTAATCGTGGTTAATTTGTAGTTGTTTTCCAAGTTTTGTAATTATTTGATGTGTGTTTTTTTTTTTTGTTTTTTTTAAGTTGTACGTTTAAGCTTTCTAGTTTTTTATTTTCTAATTTCCTAGGATTTTTTTTAAAATAATGTAATGGTTTTTATTTTTAATTAATGAAATATTTTGTTTTTATTTAAAACTTAAAAATTTTATTTATTTAAAAATAAAAATAATTTAAAGGAGTGTGACACCACTCCTTGGGTGTGGTATGAGACCACACTTTTGTGCTAATGGGTGAGGTGACGCTTACGTGTCACTGCGGTTTCATGAGGGAGCGCGACACCACTCCCTCCGGCATAAAGGTTTTGTTTGTAGTTCCTGAAAGTATTAATAATGTAATAAGAATTGAGTATTGCCTAATAAGTAACAAGTGTCAAAAATTTTAGGGACCAAAAGTAAAAAATAAGACAATACTTAACTTTTTTACTTATGGTCCCTAAAATTTCGACACTTGCTAATTCCTACAAAATTCCCGTTTTTATTATATCATAGACATAGATACATTCAAAACTACAAACAACCCCCGTGAAGTTTCATTTGGGAGTAAAATTTTAAGAAATAAATAATTTCAATTTACATACATGCATTATAATATCCTAAACTACCTTAATAAATTCTCAAACAAATAAGCAATAAAACACATATACAAATCCCAAACAATTAAACAAGATTACATCAACAAAACAATAGAGTACGCATACAAACCAAAATCACAATCAATCTATAATCTACTATATAAGAATATGTTTTATATTTTGACAGTTTGATTTAGGATTTGTATTGAACAATAATGAATTAACAAATACATATATTAGATTAATAATTTAGAAGTTATAGAATTAAAAAAACATTTTGCAATAAAAAGGAATTTTAAATTTAAAGAAAACTCGTTCGTTAAAATTTAAATTTTAATGAACAAGATTGCATTATATTAGAATGCAACTAAAAGATAAACAATACATACACATGTAAATCCGAATTACTTACTTGACTTGCTTCCGTGGATGCCATGATTCTTGATGTATTTTATGCAAAAAAGAAGAACATGTCTTAAATTCTTGATGCAACAACAAACACGGTTACAAGGATTTGGAATGTAAGGTTTTAATTACAAGCGTATATGATATGTATATATTATTGTGATATTGTTACTTAAGGTAATGTAGGGTTTTAATTACAAGCGTATATGATATGTATATATAATGGTATTGTTACTTAAGGTAATGTTTATCTAAAGTATCGATTTACTTGAAGATCAAGGTACCGACTTTTTTTTTACTAATCTGAATGGAAGAACAAGACACAAATTTTCTTAAGATAATGTTTATTTAAAACATCATAATCAACATATCAGCAATTTAAGGAAAATTCACATTGGTTCTCAAATGTTCTTTGGGAACGTCAAGAAATCACAATACCAAATACCAATTACCCTCAAACCACATATGACATAACCGATACCAAATGTAACATATGATACACCCCTAGCTTTAATTACATAACCCGACACATAATTCTAAATGATATAAGTTAAATTCTAAAGTTCAAATAAAAAAAGTTAAGTGATCAAAGTTGCAATTTTATAATACTATAGGGGCATTTGCTGTGTTAAAAGAAAAATAGCATCACACCATCAAATTTATAGGGTTTTTAGCTATCATCTTTTCTCTCCCCGCTCTCTCTCACTTCCGACAGGAGAGAGAAAGCTCCTTACCAATCTCTCTCTTCCTATTTATCCTAAAAAAAACCCTATCTTTCTTACATCAAGATTAAATATCTTGATTCTATAGATTCAGCGTTATCAGTCAATCGCTGATTCTCCCTTTAATTGATCCGATACTGTTCGATTTCAGAAAAACAGAGAGAAAATTCAAGGTATGCAGGCTGATCAAACGGTAATAAGCTTGAGACCTGGAGGTGGAAATCGGGGAAGAACCATTGGCCCTCGTTTTGATTCCTCGGCTTTCGGTTCATTAGATCATCCAATCCTTCGTCCTCATGGCGGTGCTGGCACTCCTTCTCTCGCCGCCTTCAAGGTCGTTACCTAATTTTTTCACCCTAAATGGATCTAGGGTTTATATATATTAAGCGTTTTTTGATTATATTCTATTGAGTTAAGTCCTTTATATTGATACTTGTATTCGTCAATCGTCATTATACCCTTGTTTCGAACGTTTATTTTAGTTTATATAACCCCTAGTCGAAACTCAAACTCAACTTCCATGGCTTATACTGTTGGGTGTTTATATACGTATGCATGTAGGTGATATGAGAATATAGTTTTCTATGGGTTTTGATCTTTGATTCTAAAGGCTTTAGCTTTCCTTAACCTTTTCCTCTTCTTGAACTTGAAGCATAAGGTTGACACTTTAGAGACATTTAGGCTTACTAAAAAAACATTTTTATATCCCCTGATTCATGTTCATTAAAGGATGTAATGGTGGTAGGAACTTATTGAGGTAAACTTAGAAATGTCCATATTCTTTGCAGGATGAATAAGTTCTTTCTGCTGTAAATTTGGACATATAGTGATATGTAGGGTTAAAGGTGGGCATACATGGAGCATCCGATACCCATGAAGAAACCTGCTAATATTTCATGCTCATTTTATGTGTGAATGTTCTTTTATTACTATAATACTATCATTTAATTTTATATTTGATTATCGTTTCCTTTGATCCATCTCTTTTTGGAAAAGTTTTTTTTACATTCTCTCAATATTTCTTGTTTTAGACTGGTGATTCCCGCTTTGAAGCCCACGAACGCGTTCGTTATACAAGAGACCAATTGTTGCAACTTAGGGAGGTAATGTAATAATGTTGATGATGCTTTTGTTTATTTATTTATTATAAATTTAACACTTGTATTATAATATATATTTATATATCATTAATACATTGACACTTGTTTTGAGTAGGTTGTAAATGTCCCTGAGGAGATTCTTAAAGTCAAAAAAGAAGTTGACACCGAGTTTTTTGGTGAGGATCAAAGCTGGATCAATACCAATACCAATACCAAAGCAGAAGTAAATGTAAGTATTCCACATTTACATTTCCAACCTTTTCTAGGTAAAGTGCAAAAGACGAAAATGCCCTTCTCATTTATTTATTTTTCTGCAGGTGCCAAGTCAGCCTCAGGCACGTTACTCAGAGCCTGATAATCGTGACTGGCGTGGACGTTCCGGTTCTACCCTTGTGGACAACAGGCAACATGAAACAAATCAGTATAATCGACATGATCAATCAAGATCACAGATATCTTCTAACCAAGGGGTAAAGTTACAATTTTGGTCCCTCAGTTTATCACTTTTATGCGGTTATATTTTTCTTAAATGACCATTTTACCCTTGTGATTTTGTTTACATTTTATTTGAAACAGAGTGGCCCTACTCCTGCTCTTATCAAAGCTGAGGTGCCATGGTCAGTTCGGAGGGGGACACTTTCTGACAAGGATCGCGTCTTGAAGACAGTAAAAGGGTAAAGATTAAAATACCATTTTTACCCTTCATGTTTCAGATTCACACTGCTACTTCTATAAATATCGTAGTAAATTACAAAATCGTCCCTGTGCGTTCTGATTTCCACCTTTTCAGTCCAAAATCAAAACCGTTTTTATAATTTCTGTCCTTATTTTAATGTTTCAGTTTTGGACTAAACGTTAAAAAAAATAGAAAACACAGGGACCAATTTTGTAATTTACTCTAAAGATTGAAAACATGTGTTCCATTTGTATTAACAACTTTATGTTTTTCAGTATCTTGAACAAACTGACACCCGAGAAATTTGATCTTCTCAAAGGCCAACTCATTGATTCCGGGATCACAACAGCTGATATTCTAAAGGTCCATTTTTTTTTATAACTTATTTTATCATTCTACTATTTTCAGAAATTGACTATTTAAAATAATCCTATTAGTGTTTTTCATGATACAGGGTGTGATTTCCTTGATATTTGATAAAGCTGTTCTTGAGCCAACATTTTGTCCCATGTATGCACAACTGTGTTCAGATCTTAATGTGAAACTCCCCCCTTTTCCATCTGATGAGCCTGATGGAAAAGAGATCACATTCAAGAGAGTTTTATTGAATAATTGTCAGGAGGCTTTTGAAGGTGCTGATAAATTAAGAGAGGAAATAAGACAAATGAATGCCCCTGAACAAGAATCTGAACGTAGAGATAAAGAAAGAATTGTGAAAATTCGTACCCTTGGAAATATAAGGTTGATTGGTGAGCTTTTGAAACAGAAAATGGTTCCTGAAAGAATTGTTCATCACATTGTCCAGGTTTGTTTTGAGTAAATTACGTTTTTGCCCCTGTGAGTAATTTATCATTTATCATTTATCATTTATCAACGTGTGATGAAAACAGGAGCTTTTAGGACAAGACAATAAAACATGTCCAGATGAAGAAAACGTTGAAGCAATATGCCAGTTTTTTCAAACAATTGGAAAACAATTAGATGAAAGCCCAAAATCAAGGCGAATTAATGATACTTATTTCACTAGACTTAAAGAGCTCTCAACAAACCCACAACTCCCTTCACGTATGCGATTTATGGTTCGTGATATTCTCGATCTCCAATCCAACAAGTGGGTCCCACGTCGCGAAGAAGTAATTCTAATTCCCCTTTTCCCTTTTCCTTTTTTTTTTTCGTTTTCTGTGTTTAAATTATATTTAATATTTTAATCCGAACTGTTTTTTTCAGGTGAAAGCCAAAACCATCACGGAAATCCACAATGAAGCCGAGAAGAACATGCGACTCCGCCCCGGTTCCACCGCCAGTATCCGAAACAACCGAGTACAAGGCGGCGGCGGCGGTGGCGGTGTTGGCGGGTTTCCGTTGAACCGCCCTGGCGCTGGCGGCATGATGCCCGGAATGCCCGGAACCCGACTGCCCGGCCTGCCTGATAACGACAACTGGGAAGTCCCTAGGTCCCGGTCAATGCCCCGTAATCAAATCACTCAACCGCCAGTCACCGGAAAAACACCAACACCGTCGGTCAACCCAAGATTTCTCCCGCAAGGTAGCGGCGGTTTCATTGGCGGCAGAAGTAGCGCGTTACTGCAAGGCAGCGGTGTTGCCGCTGCCACCACCACCGCCTCCACCACCGCTGCCGCCGCCCCGGTGGAGTCTTCTCCGGTGGTGGTGAAACCGGTTGTAGCTAAGAATTTAGATGAAATGAAGAGAAAAACGATTTCGCTTCTTGAAGAATATTTTAGTGTTCGGATGCTTGATGAAGCTTTACAGTGTGTGGAGGAGCTAAAGTCGCCGGAATACCACCCGGAGTTTGTGAAGGAAGCGGTGTCACTTGCATTGGAGAAAAGTCCACCGTGTGTTGAACCGGTTGCTAAGCTTCTTGACTATTTGTATTCCAAGAAAGTTTTGGTCAAACATGATTTGACCACCGGGTGTGTTGGATACGCGATGTTGTTGGATGATATCGCGATTGATTTGCCGAAAGCGCCGGGTGGTTTCGGGGAGGTTTTGGGCCACTTGGTGGTGGCGGGCGGTGTAGATTTTAAGGTGGTGGAGGAGGTTTTGAAGAAGATGGAGGATGAGGACTTTCGGAAGGCGGTTTTTGATGGGGTGATGAGGGTTGTGGGGTTGGGGAATGTGGTGTTGAGTGAACAAGGGGATGGTGTTGCTGCGTGTGAGAGGTTGTTTTGAGTGTGTTGTTTGTGGGTTTATGTAGGTGGTGGTAATGGGCGGAAGGTGGTGGTGGTGGTGGGTTTTTGGGGAGGTGTATATTTTGATTTTTTATTTGGGATTTTATTGATAGCTATGTGTGTTTGGAAATGAGATAGGTGAAGTGAGTGTCGCCATGAATTTTGAAACTTGTTTTGTAACGTTAAGTTAGTTTATTATTTTGGACCTTTTTGGTAAGCTCATAAATTTTGCTTTTCAACTTTATTGTTTTGTGTTTCAATGTCTGATTTGGTCACGTAAAAAAAGACAAATTTTTATTTTTTGTTTTGGTACCTTGACTGTTTACCGAAAAATTGAATGGAACGCAATTCTTTTTTATTTTTCCTGGGATGATTTTCATACAACGAGCTTGTAGATTGTTTTTTTAAAGAATAAAATGAGATTTTTATTTTCTAAGAATAAAATGAGATTTTTATTTATAATTATAAATTACCTTTTTAAACATATTGCGTTCTGAGTTAGTTAAGATAACTTGATTATAACATGATAAGTTTAATTGTCATGTTGTGTTATGACATTTAAGTAAGTTATGAGAGAGAGATATTTTATTTTTGTTTTATTTTTAATTGTTGTAATAAAAAAAAATGAAAAATAAAATAATAAGGGGCAAATACATCATTATAAAAAAGTTCATAGGAAATTGGACTAAACTCGCAATAAAACGAAATTATTGGACCGTCTTTGCGAGCCAAACCTATTTTGGACCAAAGTTGCTAGTTTTGACATACCACTGGACCATTCTTGCAATTTTGTCTTTTATTTATTACTATAAATTACCTTTTATTCATTTAGTTTTTAAACATATTGTGTTCGAGTTAGGATGAACTTAAACGAGTTAAGATAACTTGATTATAACATGATACGTTTAATTGTCATGTCAAACTAGTTTTTTATTTTTTATTTTTTATTTTTTATTTTTTATATGGTGCACAATTGTTTGTGGTATATAATTTTTTTTGAACACGCATATCCCTTATCAATACCTTACTCCTAAACTATTAATTTTGTCTCAAACCCTTTACTAATGACTCAGAGGTACCCATATCCCTTATCAATTTTTTTTTGAACACCCATATCCCTTATCAATACCTTACTCCTAAACTATTAAGTTATGAGTTTAAAAATCTAAACTATTAATAAAAATTGTAATTATATATATAATTAAATCCCAAGGGAATTATGAACAGTAAAGTTTCAGGTATAAGAAATTGGCCACCAAAGTTTTTGAATTTCATTCTTGGCCACAATACTTTGAAGGATTTGCAATTTAGTCCAAAAGCGGCAGTGCCGCGTGTACCCTTTTCTAGTTTTTATTAAATTGTATTAGATTGATGCACTAAATGGGTTGGTATTAGATTGCAACATTAAATACGTTGAAAGAGTGGGAGTTGGAAAGATAAAAAAGAAAAGTGAAAAATAGCAACGAATAGTAGGTTGGAAGGTGGAGAAACGAAGTTCACAATAAATTTAGAGAAAGGAAACCATATGTGATTAATGAAAACATGAAAAAATAAAAATATATATTAACCTTGGCATTTCAAAATTTGTACACTCTTCCTTTACTGTTGGTGTTTTGTAATTACCTATGACTCGATACCCATATTATGGATTCAGCTTAAGATTGCCACATTAATTTAACCAATTAACAACTAGAACACTAGTGTTTTTTTTTTTTTTTTTTTTTTTTTTTTTTTAATTATTTTTTTATGCTGCACAATTGTTTGTGGTATATGAATTTTTTTGAACACTCATATCCCTTATCAATATCTTACTCCTAAACTATAAATTTTGTCTCAAACCCTTTACTAATGACTCAGAGGTACCTTTCTAGGAACATTGTTATCGTTCTCTACAAGCCCTTTGGTGTCCGTGGGATATATATATATATATATATATATATATATATATATATATATATATATATATATATATATATAGGGTTAGGTTCATATGAGACAATAGTATTTTGTGAGACAAGGGGACCAAATCTTGACCACTTATCTTGAATAATCTAAGGCTAGAATTAAATTAGATTACACCACAAACAAGTACAAGGAGGCGGTGACATTTTTGCAATTAAATGGAACTTCAAGATTAGAATAAGGGCACAGAGAGGCAGTAATGAGATTTTACTTTCTATTTCATTCAGGTTGCAAAAACACTTTATATCATCTTCAATCTTCTTCATTCTGATCGACAAAACCCTAAGTAACCTCGATACGAACACCAAAATTCGTCTTATTCAATCTCGATCATCAACATCTTCTGCTTCGTTCTGATTCAGATTTTCAACATTGTTATTTTGATTCTAAAATCAGATCAAGTTCTCGAGCATCAACATTCCTGAATCAAACGAAATCGAAGCTTGGTTTTACAACAAATGAGTCATTCAGAATCGGATTCAGATTTGCATCTAGAGTTAATCCAGGTGACGTTTAATACTATAACTTCTTCTTGATTTTATATCTGTGAGTGATTTTGAGTTGAAATATTCTAATTTCTTCTCGATAAAACCCTAAAAATCGATTATGATTCACTATCATTTTGATTTTCAACGTTCTGATTCATATTCTGATCTTGAATCGTGATTACATTTTGCTTTCATCGATTCAAAGTTCGTTCATGATTACACTTTGTTTCTAATCTCTCAAGAAAAACACGAAGAAATTGATTCTGATTCTTATTCTAAAAACTACGATTTCATTCAACCAAATCAAAGCTCAGGTACACCAATTTGAAGGGTTTTATTTTTCTAATCGAGCATCAATCGCGGCTCGTTCTGCTAAAATTGATTCTAATTCTAGCTCTGGTTTGTGTGATGATTCATCAGAAGTAGTTGATTCTCAATCAAAGGCTTCAGATCTAAGTTTTCATACAAAAAACTTCCCATGATGACTTAAAAGATCCAAAACATGAGGAAATTACATCTATTGCAGGTATTTTAGGTTTCAATAATTGATAAATTAGGTTTTATCTCCTTCTCATGTCTTAATAATATTGGATTTGCTTATTTGATGAATTATAGATTTGATTTTAGAAGTAGATTTTTTGATTAATGACATGACCTAATATTAAATCTGTATAATATGGGTTGATATGTTAGTATTCCAGATATTCTTATATGATTATGATTTGTATATGATTTTGATTTATATTAATCAATGGATTATCAATTTAATTTTTTGATTTGGTATTTAATTGAATCTCTTGTATGTTGTAAAGCTTTAGAATGTTACTAATACTTGATGTTTGTAGTTAATTTAAGTTAGTTTGTTTCATATTCATCACAACAAAACACTAAAATGATCACAAAAATGGCTCATCCTACACAATCAGATTCTGATTATATACATGATGAATCTCCACTTTGCAAAACATAAACTTTTATAATTCCACTAAAGTCTATATATTCTAGAATGTTTTTATGTGATATTCTAATTCTTATATGAAGTATAATGTATGTTTTAGTTGAATACTATGTATATTTTGGATTGATATTTATTTTATATAATCTTGATTGTTATTATGCAATATTTTAACTATTCTAATTATTATAATGTATGTTCTAGTAAAATATTATATATATTCTGAGATGTTATTACATGGTATCTTGTTAGTCTATGAATTGAAATGTGTGTTTTAATATAAAATTATATATATTATGCTTGCTATTATGTGTAGTTGTAAAAATTCAAAACCCTAGAAAATAGAATCATCAAGCTCAATTTTCATCTATTTATGAATCAACACGTTTTCTGTGATTATAATTTGTTTCAGGTTTCATCACGATAAACACTAAACCGGTCATAGAAATGCTTCATTCTATAGATTCATATTCGGATTATACACCTAATCATTCTCCAATTCACAAAACATGTATTGATTTTTTTCTATATTTCAACTATAACTTGGTAATAAAATTATTCTGATTTACGTAGTTAGGGTTTATGATATAGTTATTCTGATTTATAAATCAACAACAATTCAAGCATTTGTATTCTACATGCTCTTGAGTTATCCTTGATTTGATTCTGATTATTCAACAATTATGATTTATGAAGCATTTTTTTATGAAATTATGTACTCTAGCTACATTTAATAATCAATTTATAACATCATATAATTTTTTTCTAGATTTTCTAAGATGTTACAGGTGTTTGGACTATAATTTAATATGATATGTTATTTTTATTTTGCTTACTAGTTGAATATTCTAGAAAAAAGTTTAATAAGTTGGTGTTTCATAAGTTGATATTCTAGGTATTATGATATGATTTCATATGTCAGTTCATAACTTTATTTTATTATATGATATAGTGTTTTATAAAATTGAAGTCTAATTGTTTACAATTTCTTTAGAGTTTATGATATATGTTTATTGTATATATAGGTTTAGCTATGAATTTTAGAATTTTCTAATATGTTATAGGTGTTTGAACTATAATATAATCTTAGATGTTATTGCTATTTTGCTGATTATTTGGATATTGAAGAAAAGTTTAATAATCTGATGTTTCATAAGTTGATATTCTAGCTATTCTAATATTATGTCATATGTTACTTCATAACTTTATTTCATTAGATGATATAGTGTTTTATAACATTGAAGTCTAACTGTTTTTTAATTCTTTTACATTTATGATGTGGTTTTATTGTCGACAGGTTTAGCTATGAATTTTAGATTTTCAGAAAATTCAATACCAAAGAGTCGAGGATAAAGGATTCAAAGAAAGTTCTCAAACAAAGTAACATTATGATTCCAATGAGGACCATATGTGAGTTATTTCAAGTATTATGTTAATTATTTATCTTCTGGTATAAATTTAGTAAAAAGGTTTTTTCATTTTTGATATTCTACGTATTCTTATTAGTATAATCTAAGGTCAAATGTTATTGCATTATTTAATTGGAAGATGTAGTACAAATAGAGTGATATGGGTTTTGCTATCTAAATATTCTGATTTTGTCTAAACTGCTTGATTTGAACATTTTGGTGAAGTAATGTGTAATATTCAGAGAGCATTTGATATACTATGCAGTTATGTGAATATTTTAAAATTATGTCATATTCTAATTTCAGACATTTTGATTTTGTTGGAAACAACTTTGTTTCAAACTTTTTGTTAAGTAATATGTAATATATTATTTTAGACATC